ATTCTATCTGGTGCTACTGAGGTTCTGAGTTGGACCTTCCCTTGAAATGCTCTACTTTTAGACGATTCAGGGGAATATCAGCCTCTGTACTGTTCTATGTCTCCTGACTATCCACGTGGCAGTCATGTGCATGGGCAGGGGTTCTAATGGTACAGGCCGTACCAGTACTGTCGATAGAAATTCCTTCACAATGGGAATACCTCCACTGGATATAGAATTTAGAGAAAGTATTAACGCCAATATTAGCTCAACAAGGTGCCCGGTAGTAATCCCAGTAATGGTCCAAGATGTATATTCCTTGGCAGCCGATATTGATAAAAAATATTGGGTGCTACTGGGGGAAACACTTTGCCAATATTTGGCCATTCTCGGCAAAATCGATTAGCCATCCTCTGGCCGATGACCCTACCCCATTAGCACCAGATATTGGCTCAATGCTTAACCGACATTAGATACGTTTGCTACGTCTTGCACAATTTTGCGAATAGACTCTAAATGTTGGGGAAACAATGAAATTCCGATATTGCTATATCATAATTCATTCTTTATTGGACCGACGCGATGATCCAATGTGCCCGACGCACTTAAATTTTTGGGGGAAATGTTGAAGTTCTCTTCTGCCACTTCATGGTGGCATAGGTCTCGCTCTTTGCACACATTTTTGTTGATCATGATTTTTATTGGAGATCACAATATTTTTCGGGCATCAATGTCCATAAAACCCATGTCGCAACCAAGGGTTTATGAGACAACCTCATTTCCAAAGAGCATTGGTTGGACAGGTTGGACCCACAAATTAATGGAGATGATTTCATCCTCGAATGCGTTCCCCCAATGAGAACTGTTCCTGGGAATTGGACGACCAATGAGCGCGAGCTACCACCCAGGGATCCCTCCCCCAGAAACCTCCTTTGGATTCTAAAGAAAAAGCAAAGAACTTTATCACAAAAGTTCAGTCCCGAGTTGATCGAGGGGACTCGACCCCGTCCTTTTCCCCTCTCAGTCCAACCAAAGTGTTAATGCCCCGGTTCGACCTTAAGAGTAGGTCATCCCGTTAAATACACCGACTCACTCTCTCTCTCTTAAAAGGATAGGTCCTTGTGTCTGTGAACCTCGTGAAATAACCAACAATTTTGCTTCTTTATATTTTGAGTATTTTTGTTGGACAACTTCCTAACATTTAAAAACGTATGTAATTAATTTAGATATCAAACTCGGTTGTGGGATATTCCTTTCTCGGCCGTGAACAGGCACCAACCTTTCCTCCTGATGAAAGGAAGAGATTCTAAAAAGATAATTGTCAGGCGCGGGACGTTAGGAAGCGAAATTCATCGCCTTTTTGTTTTCTATAAGTAACAACCTGCCGCAGCGCCACCTGGGCCCGTTACAGAGGAAACAGGAAAAATGTAGACCTTGTTTTCTTTTCACGAAGAAAAGAATTTCAAGAAACGAAAAGTTTTCCAGACACGAAAAGAAATATTTCTTGAGTTCGTAATAAAACTTGGCAAGATCGCAGGACAGCTACGGGGGACGTTTGCGACTCGAATATGCGTCAAACTAGTAGTCCCGTCTCAGGCAAAATGCTGGAAAGGCTGAAGGACTTGGTGACTCAAGTATACACATTTACCAAAGGTTTGCACATCGCGAGTACAAGACGAGTGGGATCTTTGATCATTTGAGCAAAGCCATCCCGCAGTAATCATTGGGACCGTGAAATTCATCCACATATTACGTATATAACTTTAGCTAGAATGATTTTTACATTCGGTATTGCTTTTTTATTTCCTGTCGAGTTGCGGATCTCCTATGAGAATGGGGACTGAGGGAACGCGTTCTCTTTCACTTACCGTTCCTGCTACTGAATTTATGAACGTTAGGGCTCTGAGAAGTCATGCCTATCAGCACTAGCAAAAACGAGTGATTCCCCGCAATCGAGATAACTTTCTATCTGAACCATCCACCAGTGGGATGAGACCGGGAAAAAAAGGCATTTATCTGCTTTCCACCATCATTCTCATTTCCTTGCTAGCACGAAACTCACGCGAAGCTGGCTCCGATCCCGGAATTCTTCGCCACCGCCACCACAGAGTGCTCAAGTCTGACCGACGACATCGTCTCCCATTGGGACAAGTGGAAGACGGCGTCACGGAACGACTTCAGTCACAGCATCAGCGAGGGCCGCCCGCGACAGGGCGACAAGGTGCTGGGGCGCTACGAGACCCGGGCGCACGAGACCGACACGGACTACTCGATCGAGGTGTTCGCCCATCCTCGGCGCGGATCCGAGCCCGCCGTCATCACCTCCGTCTCGGTCCTCGACCACTTTGGGGACGACACCGGGGGCAGGGCCACCGTCTTGGAGGGAGGAGTGGGGTGCCACCGCGTCAAGATCAAGCTCGAGTCCAGCCAGATGTTCAGAGGCTACCACTTCACCATCGTCATCACGGGTAAAGAAGTTGAAGAGAACTACCGCCTTCCATCGTCGTCGTTCGCTCCCGGCAGGAAAGTTCTCCGTTCGGTCGTGACGGATAAAAGGTGCTTGCCAAGAGTGGTTACAAGAGAAGCATGCAGTGGCCGTGTTGGAAGAATTTTTTGGCACGACTGAAGCTACGTTTCATGTGTATATTTGTACTAGCCTCATTACGTGCATGTGCTTATCAAATGTTTCCACAATGTTCCTCGAGTATTGACTGGCTGTACATTTTAATACCAGTATGTTTCTCCTGCTCATCTTAGTGTAACCATATCTTCCAGAAACTATGTGGCTAACGTCTCTATTTATCTTTATAACCGGAGGTGAACCATCATTCCTGATAGGCTGCCAAAAATAGACTGACACGAGCATCAGGAGATAAGTTAAGCAATAAACAATGCTGAGCTAAAGGGGTAACTTGGGGGAATATGGACACCAAAAATGAAATCAGGTTACAGCGTCACGTCTAGGTGAAATGAAACTTTGCCAATATTCAGAAAATATTGTTTGTTGTCTAACCATTGGCGAGCCAGCCGCGAGGTGTGTTTCGGATCATTGTCCTGCTGAAACACCACCTCTCCCACTTCGAGGCCGTAATGCGCCAGTGTTTGGAGCAATTTTTCCTCGAGGATGCTTGTATAGAGCCTGGCATCCATTCTTCCTTGGATTTGACAGCCAAGCCCGACTCCTTTGGGCGTCATGCAGCCCCAAAACATCAGGCCACCTCCACCATACTTGCGGGTCTCCCTCACGTACCGCTCTGCTAGGGCTTCGCCGGGCTGTTTCCATGCCCAATCACACCCATCCGACCTCATGAGGTTGGTTTTTGTCTCGTCTGACCAAATTATGCGTTTCCAGTCCTCTACAGTCCAGTGTTGGTGGCGGCGGGCGAATTCTAGCCGCTATAGGATATGCCGCGGCTGGAGTTGCGGCTTCTTTCGCTTGGTTGTTGCCCTCAGACCAGCTTCTTTCAGAGCTCCTCAAAAATCAGAAAACAAAGCGTTTTTATAGTCACATAAGCAAGTTTATTGCAGTTATTGAATACCTGGGAAACAAAGATGAACTATTGACAAAAGAACGGATTAATAACCGCATAAATGACAAAGAAGGATGGCAACATCTTTGTACAATGATTGCATTACATGGTCCCACATTTCTTCACTTCCTTGGAGATTATCATCATACAAATAATTACATGTAATTATACCTCTTGCTTCGAAAGGTAGGCACTTTATTTGCATCTCATGTGTCAGTTGGCATTACAGTGATGCCAGTCTCATCTCATCTCTCTTCCTACGTTTTTCTTTCATTTGTGAAATGTGGTCGTCACACCTCAAGTCCTGTGAAGTGTGCCTCCTCGTTTGGTAGCGATTTGAGACTGCTTTCTACAAAGATGGCACTGGGAAGACATCGTTAAGGATAGCTCTATGATTACGGGAAGGTACTTCATCACTATTGTTTCGGTTGGCAGGTTGAATTGGCGTGATTCTCAATGGTTCTGTGTGTGAGACATCCAGTTTGGTTGCTTCCACATTCTGTCTCTCAGGACTGGGAGCTGTTTGGAGAAATGCATTCCCTGGAATTGCAGAGGGGTTGAATGGATAGATGCCACAAGCTTTAAAACCATTCACAGCATTGCCCAAGGTCCCCGCTTGAAACCACCTTTCCCTGAGAAGACCTCCGAATTCCAGCTTGGTGAACGCTTTTCCCCCATGAGTGTGCGCCCATGAAGCAGCTGCCTTGTAATAGTAGTTCTTCAGAGGCTTCAAGAAAGACCCATCAGTCGGTTGTAGCTATTGGGTTGTATGTGGAGGCAGACACAACAAATGGACTCCAAGATCCTTGGCGTACTGCTAGAGATCGGGATCAGTTGCATGGGCATCGTGTCCATCAATAATTAGGAGGACAGGCGCTTCAACTGTGGAGTGAACTACAGCCACAAAGAATTCCAGGAACTCCATAAACAGAGCTGTGTTTATGTGACCACTTTCACTGAACTTAAGCATGGAACCTGGTGGGAGGCGTTCATCAAGCTCACGCCGGTATGTCGCTTTCCCTTGAAGATAACAACAAGGGGCAGGTAATTACCAGCCGCACTGCAACAAGCAAAAATTGTCACTTTTTCCCCCTTTTCCTTTGGAGCCACAGAGTGCACTACATTGGAGCCTTTTTCGACAATCACCTTCTGAGGACGTGTGTTCATTTGCAGACCACATTCATCCGCATTGAAGATTCCATGTGGTTTCATCTTGATTTCAAGATCATCAAGCTTTTTGGACAACAAATTAAAGTATTTCTTCACTTCTTCTGTATTCATGCCAACTGCTCGTCCCAATGACAAAGGACAAAGAAAAGGGTTGCGTCGACGAAAACCATATAACCAGTCCCATCCAGCTACGCCCAAGACTTGATTGAAGCGGTGATTTCCCAACTTCGCAGCAAACTTGAATGCTGCAGCTCTCACCCGATGACGTGCGAGGGGAAAGCCATGCGCTGCCAAATCCTTCAAGTGATTTTTTAACGCAGTTTATTCGTCTTCTCCAAGTTCACCCTTTCGACCAAGCCGCTTTACAAGCGCACTTGGATAGGGCTCATAGGGGTTTTGCTTCATTTTCCTCTCCTGAAGGTATCGGCGCAGGGTTGATCTCGATATGCCATAAGCTGAAGCAGCTTTGCTAGGTGCCAATTCTTCATTGCTGACTGCATTAATGGCAGCCTCCAAATGCTTTCCCTCCCACTGCTGGCGTACATTTTGCTTCACGTAGGTTCGGGGCATCTGAAAAATTACTGAAGTTCATTTCTCAAAGGCCAAGGTAAGTGTCATGGAGATATGATAGCTTCAAATATGATACCGAACAGCTTTGACCTTGATATTACATATACAGAAATGGGAGAATGGGAAATCTTTGGAATGAGAAGCGAGGTTTCTATGATCTTCACAATTATAGCAATGGCAGCAATTCATCAACAGCAATATATAAACCCAATGTAGATACCCAATAAGAACAACAGATTTAAAAAATAAATGGATTACAGACCTGCAGAAGTATTGATGAGGCTGATGGCTTCCTGAAGATTCGTGACTCGATTCGGGTCAATGGCTGACAGATCAGTGGCGTGGCGGTATACCAAAGCTGGTGTGAATGAATTTGAATCGAAATTCCGGGCCTTTTTATACATGGATTAAGCTGGTGGGAGGCGGAAGTGAGTGGGGGGGGGGAGGGGAGGGGAATGAATCCATATCAAGGTTATTCCAAGGGCAGATTCGAGTCACCAGCGCGAAGGTTTTTTGAAGGGCAGATTATTCCCTATCACAATAATATCGCTGATAGGTCAGAGCAGTTTTGACGTGAAATAATGGCAGTGTCCATATTACCCCAAATCGAGGTGGCCATATTCCCCCAAATTGGCTCGTAAGACAAAGTTGGCAATACTTCCAGCATTCTGTAAGTGAGAGGGCTGGCAATTTGCACATACATTATATAAGGACCATAGAAAGACTTAGAAGAAATGGATACAATATTCATGGAGCCAACAGGGAGTATTTGCTTAAATGGTTCAAGGTTCAAATTAGTTTTTGTGTCATGAAGTGAGCAGGTGTCCGCAGCCTTCCTTGCAAACGTTTATGTATCCTGTCTTCCTGTGGACAATTGCATTTAGGAACATGGCTTAAAACATCAGCTTTTATAAACCTCTTCCATGGTCATGCTTTCCAATTTCACTCAAACTCGCTTCTCAGCCTTTTTGGAGAAATGTTGTGAAGGGCCATATTACCCCAATGGCCATAATCCCCCAAGTTACCCTATGGTCGTCCAGTTTACGAGAAACCAAGTCTCAAAGGGAAACCATTTTCTCGAACCTTGAGATTGGCTATTGCAGGTGGGTGACATGAAGAGTAAAACATTTCTCCCGAATGAAATACGAGGACGAATCTCCTGGTACGAAAATGAGTACCGTTCATCTGCACACTCCAACTGGCTGCTAAATAACCCATTCTGACTTTCGGTTTTCGGTTTCACTATCATCTATATTCATTCGTCCATACAAGAACTCACTGTGAAGATATTCTTGACTTGTCAGAGAGAAAACATGAATCCAATATTGTGCTGCGTGAGAGCCACGAAGACGAAATTCACGCAGTCAATACGGTTTTTGGGAATATCACTATCTATCTCATTTTCCACTTTTCTTTATTTCATTAATCTTATTTATTTCCCTCTTCGTAACTCTTGTTCGGAACTCACCTGGACCGCGTTCACTTGAAAAGGGAGATCTTCCAAGAATGGTCTCTCTAAAGGTCTATGGACCTAAATTCCGCTTGGGAAAAAGCGCGAGTGCTCCCTATTTCCGGTGCAACCCCTGCAAGACGGGAACGCATCATCCTTGCCATACCATTCCAATTGAGCTTTTCTTCCGAATTCCATAACCGCATGAATGATAAGTCTCATGTAGAGCCACTCGAAAAGGGTCCCATTCCGAATCTCCTAGCATCAATTGAGGAGTTCTCTGGAAAAAGGGCGCATGTGCCCATACAACCGTATGGACACATACGCACTTTTTCCAGAGAACTTCTCTATTACTCCAGGCGAGGTGTTGATACGCGTCGAGACCCGAACACCAAGTACGATGCCGAGGGAGATGCTCACCCATGCTCGACCACTGGGGGGTTGATAGTACTCAAATGAGTACTATCACCCAGGAGTTCCATGTGGTTGTATTTTCTCCATTGGATCATAATTCGAGTTGAGTACTTAAATGACGCAATTCTTTCTGTTCCAGAAAAGGTCGAGCATCATCCTCAGATTAAGAAGAGGAGTCCGATACTTCCCTACAAGCCCGTTTGTCCCGCTCTTTCGCTCTCAGAAAGAGTTATAAGGCCTCACGTTCCCTAAAAACGCCATGTATTGACTTAATAAATTACAGCATGCTTCCTCGGACCCCTGGCCAATAGTACTTGGCTTCTCCTTCTGCCGGGTTACCTCCTTAAACGAATCTCTCTCGAAATTTCAATGCCTTGCCTTAAGTTTTACGTGGGGAAAGAGTGGGTACTGTGTGAAAAATGCAGCGGACTCGTTTTCCAATGGCACCAGGATGAGAATAGCTAAATCGGCGCTTAGACGCCATCTCGCTCAGATTGGCAGAACCTGCTTAAATGTGGATGTCTCAACATTTCCACCTGTGATCAATGTTGACAATATTATTGTGCGGAATGTTAGTAGACCGTTCAGCAGATATGGCGAGCTGTTGTTTCTGGTTTTTCCGATAAGAAATTTAATTTCTCTCGCGATGAAACCCAACGAAACGGTAGCAGAAGTGACAAAGCCTTTGGCACACGATCGTAACATTCCATGGATGGCTGAAATCGAGTATATTGTTCCATATAAAAATAAACGCTCTCTATTTTAAGAATAAGTTTTTATTTGATATATTAAAAAAGTTCCATTTGATATATTATATGCACCCAGGTAAATCCAAAAAAAGAATGAGACCCAAAGTCGAGAAACCATCGGAGACTGGAATTGTCGACCGTGTTGAGCAGCAGGAGAGAAGGAAGGAAGGAAGGAAGGAAGGAAGTAAGGAAGGAAGGAAGGATGGTAGGATGGAAGGAAGGAAGGAAGGAAGGATGGAAGGAAGGAAGGAAGGAAGGATGGAAGGAAGGAAGGAAGGAAGGAAGAGAATCCTCAATGGACAGGTCCCAAGAGAGTGCATCGAGGCTCGAACCTCCATCCAAGAAGCGCATCCGAAACGCGGAGCATTCAGTTCCAGGAGTCGATCGTGCTCTTGACCCAATCGGCGTACGAAGACGTCCTCGTGTAAACGAAAGGAATGGTCTTGCATTTGAGCTTGGGCAGGTTGGATCCGTGCCCCGAGGCGATTCCGGACAAGTAGGCCACATCGCCGTATCGAAGAACCATGGGTCCACCGCTGTCTCCCTGTGACCACATGGAAACAGCAATAAGCTAATGAAGACATGTTGGAGTTGAATGGGCAAAAATAATTAAGATAAATAAATTGGAATGATCGCTATATGTCAAACAACAACAACTTTTTTCTTTAAAGGGAACCATGCATTTATCCGCTAAATTGTACGCGAAATGTAGAATTATTTCTGAATCAGCACCTCAAAATGGACGAGCTAGCGCATCAAATGTCGGGATTCTACAGAATCTCCTCTTGACATTGAACTGACCAGACAGTAAGTCAGTCGGTCGGTCTTTCACTCGCTCACTCATGTCGTTAATAGTAACAATAGAAACATCGTCATTCTCAAGGATTAAGAAAGCATCCTTTGGGAAGGTCATTAACTTGGCAACCGTCGATCGACGTAGTGAGTGGTTCCCTTGATCGACGTGAAATGTGTTAGTTTGTACGCAGCCCCCCATCGTGCAACATTTCATGACTTTTTCCTCTCCATCGAAGCATTCCGTAGCCTATTCCGCGACGATATCGTTTCGCGGCTCCAAGAGAGACAATAGAAAGCGAAACGCACGTGGCAAGGACCAGTGGACGGGACTCTTCCCCCCACGCAAATGATCCGTTGGTCGGAGTATTTGTTGCATTTTTCCGTCGGTTTATCCGTCACGTTCGCGTCCAGCTTCTGCAGGTATCGCGACCCCTCCTTATTCTTGAGCTGGAGCCTCCCCCAGCCGTAGAGAATCGGGTCGCACGTCTCGGCTCCCTTCCCGATCTCGTCCGACGTCGGGTAGCAGATCGGCTGGACGGTCGGTCCGAAGGTCAGATTGGTTGCCAGTCTCAAGATGGCTATGTCGGCCGAGGAATAAAGTTTGTCTGTCGATCGAGGAAAGGGAAATGTCGTTAGACATAGGAGAAATAATTCATATTAGCGAAATCCTATTCGGTTTCGTCAATACCGGTGCTAATCTAAAATGAACAAAGGATTAAGTAGCGTTGATATTTTGCACACCGTGTCACATCCCCCCTATGGATGTTCGGATGGCGGAGGAAATTTGGAGTGACACTTTCCGAGAGAGCTCATACGAGGAAAATGAGGAAAGTCATTGTTGCCCCCTCGTTCCAGGGATTTCTCCCGTTCGCGCCATATCCTTGCGACGTGATTCGCCGAACCCGGAAATAATATCTCTCTCCGGATTTCCATATAATAAGAAAAGTTTTTCTTTTGGACGGTCTGCCTCAATTCCTCCTTTATGCTTATCCTCATTTACTCCATAGCTAGACTTACTTTCAGTATTGAAATGCAATTTTTACATGTCGCACTTCAGCGAGACATCTGCTCGGAAATTTTTTGCCAAGTTCAATCGAAACCTTCAAAGAATACCTTCCAGGCGTGATGCCTTCGTGAATGAAGCATGAAGTATCAAATTTTTGCATCGCATATATTTTCAATTTGCAAATATACTACTTCAAGTACATTATTTAAACCAGAAGACCTCGGGTACTAAGCAACCGAGATTAATAATAAATGTAATAACAATACAAATAAATGTAATTAAAAAATAATGATAAAATAAGCAGATAGTGCGTGCGATTCTTTCGACTTCCTAAGTCAAGCGGGAAATGCATGTTGATGTGTTTGCCCGTGGTTTTCACATCTCTAGGAGTCGAAAATTTCTAGATATTAACTGGAGATCTGAACATGAATATCCATTTTAATCGGAGCGACTTTGAAATGAAAATCAAATATTGGCCTCAAGAATGGGGGCGACTAGCACCGAAAGTCTGGTTCCGCCATCGTCTCGCCAACTTCAGGAGGAACGAAGCGACGAGAGGGGAGGGCAGTGCGGCGAAGCGTGTCTTTGGCATGGGAATCCGTAAAAGACAAAAATCTTGGGAAATCTGAAAACTCGTGAAAATTCCCCTATACGCCGAAAAAGGCCTCTTTCTTAGGGATCGGTTGCATGAAATCTATGCCTGTCCATCTCTCACATATACCAATATAGATAATACATGACAGGAGCCTCCCAACCCTCCCCATCTACCAGCCTCGTACTCAGCACCGACGTGAGACGGACGTCCCCCCCACCCCCTTTCAACCCATCCCTCTCGGCCCCACTCCCTATTTCCCATTCCCATAGTCTCCGTCCTCCATATCAATTTCAGCTCCTTCC